GTGTGTGTGTGTGTGTGTGTGTGTGGCCAAGTCATGATTCAAATCCAGTTCATCTGACTCTCAGCAACTGAATTGCTGATGCCTTGAATAGTTTGTAATAACCCAAAATTCACCCTGGAAGCTTAGCCAAGGAGCCATTAGGATCAGACCTATCTGCTCCCCCTCTCTCCCACAAGACATGTGGTTTTGAGATGTGCTGTCCACAAAGAATCACTGGAGCCAGGGCTTCCAACAAACTCCCCCTCTGCCTCCCCCACCCCAGTATATAGTAGGTCAGGCTTGTCTTACAGCCTCTTCCTATTCCCTTCTCCTGAGTGCTTCAGAGGAGCCCCTCCTGGCCAGATGTCCAGGGAGTCAAAGGAAACTCTCCCTTACCTGAATGGCCGTCGTTGGTCAGGTTCAACAGCTTTTCAGCAGACACGTTGTAACCTTGGAACTGGAGGGGTGCGAGGCTGGCATCATATTGAAGGATGTCGCTATGTAGGTCTATTGGGGACTGCAGGAGGCCTCCACATGATGGGTACTTCTTAGACCAGTTCTTTTCCCCAGCAGGACCTAGGAGAGACTCAAGATAAGTTTTCCACAAGGAATTTCCCTCACCTTCTATCATCTTCTAACCTCTGTTTACATATTGTTCCTATTACTTCTCTTCTTTATCGTTCCATAGACAACTGCATGATTTTATAAGAGGCCAGGGTATGTACTGGCCCCCTGGCATCCTTGTGGACCTCACCTAAGAGTGGTGAGAGTCAGAAAAAATACTCAATACCTTTCCTCATTGTAACCACTATGAGGACGAAGGGTCAGTCCTAGCCTTAGAGGTAAACCATTCAAGACCTGGAGGTAGCAGCTTACAGAATCAGGCCCAGCAAACACCTCAAAACCATCTGCCATTGAAGGGCTATGGAGGATGAAAGACTAGAGTAACTCAGCACAGAAACTAGAGTCCCCACCCAACCTCCACTTTACCCCATGTTGACACAATACATATCCTCCATACATAAAAACTAGTGACATCCAACAATACACCATCTGACTGTTGAACATCTATTATGATCTAAGAATTACTGTAGGTCTTGAGGCCCCCAGGTGGAACACTAAGGGGATATTATTAGACTAGTGGGTAAAATTTGACGAATCTTCTGAAACTGTGCCAGGTTGGTGAAATTGGTATCTGACTGACCATACACAGCTCATGTAGAACATCAGCTCACTGAGGCTGATATATTCACAGTCTGAGGTTCCTGATGGGGAACACTGGAGATACAGACTCCTGATATCTACATCTGGAGTACAAGATGCAATCCCAAAGGGATAATTGAAAAACATTGAGTAATTATAGGCCCGGGACCACAAAGCCAAGCATGGCAGGGTTTTAACTGGAGGGAAGCCTGGTAACACTACAATCGAATTATTGTAATAAAATTGACAAGTCCTCAGTGAAGAGAAACAGGCTTAAAACTAAAAAGCATCAAGGCTCCTGCTCCTTGCTAACTATGGCCCAGTAAGTAGTTGTTCCTCTGTGAATGGAAACAAGCATTCCATGGTTATATAAACCAGTGGTTCTCAACCTGTGAGACAAGGCACTTTAGAATCACCTAAGACCACCAGAAAACATATATATATTTGCATTACCATTCGTAACAGTAGCAAAATTACAGTTATGAAGTAGCAATGAAACTAATTTTACGGTTGGGGCTCACCACAGCACGAGGCACTGCATTAAAGGGTCTCAGCATTAGGAAGCTTGAACACTGTGCTACTCTTACAGGGAAAATTCTTGAAAGAATGTAAATCTGTTTAAAAGATTAGCTCCCATGGAAATTATGTGGATTTTCAGGCTGCTGGCAGACATTTCCCTACAAGAACTGAGATTCTGGGAGGCTGTAAGGAGGAAATTGTCTAAACTGTATCCCATGTAGACTCTAGTAGAAGTTAAAGCCACACTAGGTATTTGAGGGCAAGAAAAAGAAGTATATCTAAGAGAGAGCAGATTCAGTGTGGGCAAAGTCTTCAGGAGAAACAGAAGTGAAAACACTGGACCAAGAATACTCAGAGAAAAGGACTACAGTACCAACTATCTCACTGCCTTGGTGAGTGGCCCCAGCCAGGTCATGTTCCCTACTGGGGCTGCCATCAACCTAGGTAGAAATGGCAGAGTTGGACACTGTATTCTGGAAGGTCCCTTCTGGCTCCTGAGATCCAAATGTAAGCGCCTTCCCGCTCTGCACCAGGCAAGTTGGAACGGCTCACTGAGGCTTGTTCATGTCCAAGCAGCTCCAGTGCATTTGCTAAGATGCCCAGTAGGAACCAGCTTCAGAAGTGAAGGCACAGGATGCCCGAGTCCCTGGGTTAGCTGGAGTGTAGACACCACCAGCCTCAGTCCTGGCCTCTGTTGTTGGCACCAGTCGCAGGCCAGTATGGCAGCAGGGTCTAAAAGAACCCTTTCCATCTCTCCCCCTTCTTTCACCAGCAGCAGCATGGTTTGCTCCTTTTAGTAGTTTGGATCCTTTTGCAATCTATAACGTTGACACAGCCAAGAGGAGAGAAGATGAAAGTATTTTGTAGATGAAATACTGAGATGAATGACGTGCCCTTAGGTAGACTAAGGCTTAATATCAGTTACCTGGCATGGATCACAAAGCTTTGGTGCCTTCTCTCTGGGTGTTTCTCTGGGAGATTTTGTGCATCCGTTTCCTCCTTCTCGCCCCGACATTCTCCTTGGAGGCAAGGAGCGCCTCACTCATCCCCACATTTCCTACAGTGGCTGGCACATAGCAGGTCCTCACAGGTTCACTAACTCTCCCACCTGTTTCCGGCTTAGTTTTCTCTAAGGATCCTTGATTACCCGTTTGAAGTCCCCACATGCTGTTTATCCCTTCAAAGAAGAATTAGAGCCAGTTATGCTGGTACATATCCAGAACCTTAGCCTTGCTTCATTTTCCTCCCCCTGCTGTGTGTGTGTGTGTGTGTGTGTGTGTGTGTAGGCGCATACACAATCTAGGTTAGCTGGCCTGTGAGCTTTTTACATGGGTCCTCAGGCTTTCATAGTTAACATATTACCCACTGGGCCATCTTGCTGGTCCTCTGCAATCCTAGTACTTGTGAGGTGGATGCAAGAGGATCAAGAACTCAAAGCCATCCCTGGCTACATAGTGAGCTTGAGATTAGTAGCTTGGTTAAATGAGACCCTGTCTTTAAAAAGAAAAAAAAATGTTTGAAAATGAGCTCCCTTGTTCAGGTTCAGAATCTCCCTTCTTAGTTTTCGAGTTCGTCTGTGTGAGGGTTGGTTCTGGATGGCAGGGACTACTTTCTGAAAAGGAAACCTGCTATCCATCCTATACTGTGGGGTGTGGCCTCGTGAATGTGACTTCAGAGAGTTCATAGACACCACCACTACCACCACATTATGGCTACTGGACAGCTGGGGACAGTACCAGACAGCCTCATGACGTCCTGGCTTGAGAGAGATACATGGCTAGGTATCTACCTAACCAATATCAAATATGTCAGTAGAGACTTTGCCATTGTCCTCCAGTTTCTGTCCAGCCCATGTGACTTGCAGCCACAGTAATCCTGGGAGGGTCACTCAAGGCTATAATTTCTCAATGGAGTCTCAGCTTTCACAATCATTTTTTTTTAAAAAAAAAAAAACCTGAGACAATGTCTCATTTGTCTCAGGCTGACCTTGTACCTCTGGTCCTCTGCCCCCATCTCTCCAGTGCTGGGCTTACAGGCATTCACCATCATGCCTAGCTTATGTGGTACTATGGATCAATCATTCTACCAACTGAGTTACACACCCAGATCTAACTTTCAGATGCTTGCCAAGTGCTCTTTTCCAGAGAGCCTGTGCCTTACAATGCAGCTCCTCTCAACACTTGCCTTTGCTTTAGGTTTCCCTGGTACCTCTTCCATCGGTGGGCTCCCGTCCCCATCCCCCAGCCCATGATCAGGAAGGAGGCCATGTCTATGCCAAAGCTTGTTTTCCCGTGTAAAAGCAGGGCAAGTTTTCTTTCTAGTTCATGGATTCCCCTACTGGTAGCAAAAAAGTAGACAGATCTTCATTTTGAAATATAGCACAGCCCAGCTCAAAATGTGTCTTATGACTTCTGACTGGGCATTGTGAAGCTCAGGGTACAGGACCCATATTATCTGAGGGTGTAGGGAAAATTTCAAATATATCCAACAGGAGAGAGAGATAAGCAAGGCGAACCCCACATCACCCAGCTGTGAAGGCGTGACAGAGTGTGAGTCACAGCCAGTCCTGTTTCATCTTCACTATCTGACGGGATAACTCTGTAACAAACCAGCTGGATGTCATCTGCACATGTCTCCGTAAGCTTTCCTAAACCATGAGAGCTCAAAGCAAAAGCTTAATACTACTGTCACCCCTGCAGAGTTAAGTTAGGATTTTAATATCACCAAACCCAATCAGCAGTTCTACAACCAGATCATGTGACTAAAACATGGCTGATATTTATGTATCACTAAATATAAGGATTCTTTAAACCATACGCTCATTTCCCACGTAAAACCTGTTTATAATTCATTAGTATAACTAAATACACAGCAAATTTTCAGCTTTCCCTGTTCATCTCAGAACAATTTTAAGAGGCTGTTTGTGTCCTCCATGCTCACAAGGCGTCTAGGCACACAGCATGTAGATGCACCATTGCTCTGGGCGAATAATTCATGTAAGGGATTGAAGGATAGTTTTATAACCTGTTTGCAGACATGATGTCTGGGGTAAAAAAAAAATGTCTGGGCTGAGTAATTTCTTATGTTTATATGCCTGATACATTCACATTATAGCATATATCATCATAATAAAAGCATGAACCATGTAATTACCCATAAGGTTTGTTTACAGTTTCTCTCTGGCTGTCTTATGTTCTCAAGATTAATAACAATTTTTTATGATTTTTAATAATGAGTATATGTGTGTGGGGTGTGGGTATGTACATGTGAGTGCAGCATCCACAGAGGCCAGAGGGAGAAGCTGTATCCCTTGAAACTGGAGATAAAGGCTGTGGCATGATAAAGTCATGGTTGCTGGGAATCAAGTTCGAGTCCCCTGTAAGAATCTTTACCCACAGATCCAATTCCCCAGCCCCACAGTTTTAAAGAAAATATATTTTGTTTGTGACTTGACAGGGCCTTATGGAGTTTGGATTGACAACAATAATAAAAAATAAAAGGTATATTCATTGTCTCCGGTTTTGAGGTTGGTCTTTGGGGTCTTTTTCTAAAAAAATTTTTTTTTTCAGCTTTGCTTTCTGTCCCCGACTTTTGGTCACACTCTCTGAGGTCAATGCCCTGAGTATTCGTGTGAATGCTTAAGGCAGGCAGCTGCCTGACAATTGGCTCCTGGCCATGTCTCTTCGGACTGGCTACAAAAACAGATCAGAACTTGCCTATGTGACAAAGTTGACATTCTAGATGTTGGTGACGTCTTGCCAACCAACAGTTGTTTTTTTTTTCTACACAGTGAGAATGTGTAGGTTTTGGTTAGTCTCTCAAGGCTGTGGCTAGTTTATTGTATTCAGAGATCT